TAATTTTTTTTTATTATTTTTAACCAACAAAACAAAACAAAGTAAAACATAACACACATACACACACAATTTATACTCCTCCCCCTTTTTAAAACAGCGATTACATAATGGTAATCTTCTATTATTTACATTTCCCCCCTTATTCTTCTTTAGAATATTTCCTTATTGCCCCGTTGTTTCTTATTTACATTTTCCTTCCTTCATATTCTACTTCTTACTAAGAATAATTCATATTATTATTATTATACATTCTTATACACATATTTTCACTTTTGACCTTTCCATATTTATTCTCCTCTATTATTTCTAGTCTCCAACCAGTCATACCACTTGTTCCATGTTATGTAGTACTCTGTGTCTTCTTTTTCTTTTATCTCTTTTGTTAATTTGTTCATCTCAGCACAGTCCAGGATTTTTCTTATCACTTCTTCCTCTGATGGTATATTCTCATTTTTCCAGCACTGTGCATATGCTATTCTTGCCGCCGTTATTATATGTAAAATTAAGTACCATATTTCTTTACTATATTTTCTGTTTAAAATACCCAACAAAAAGATCTCTGGTTTCCAGTCTATGGGTTGTTTTATTATTTCTTTGATCCATTTTCTTATTGTAGTCCAGTATTTTTTCGCAACTGGGCATGTCCACCATAAATGATAATATGTTCCATGTACTTTTTTACATTTCCAGCATGTTGGCGAATTGTTCTGGAACATTTTGGCAAGCTTTGCTGGTGGAAGATGCCATCTGTAAAACATCTTCAACTGGTTTTCCTTGAATGCCGCCGACATAGTCAATTTTATATTTATTTCCCATATTTTTTCCCGTTTCTCCAATTCTATATTATATCCAAAATTTTTTGCCCATCTAATCATTGTATCTTTGACAAGCTCGTCTTCCACTTTATATCTCAATAGGTATTTGTATAAATTGCTAATTAGTTTTATTTCTGTCCATGTATAATTTTATCCAATTCTTGCAGCTCTTTTTGTATTTCATATAATTTTTGAACAACATTGATCTTAACTGCTGCAGTGGTATATATTTTGCTGTCCTGATAAGAATGGGTGTGTCAAAAATAACGGCAAGGAGGGAAGGGCAACTGAAGAAGGAACATAGTGTTTTATTTTGTTTTTTTACTTGTGGATGTTGTTTTCTATAATTATTTTTAATTAGTTACGCTAAGGACATAAAACTTATGACTGTTATTTGACTTGGTACTGATAGAACGTCACGTTATCATCACATGGTGAGGCATGAAATTTATTTACTTTACATAAACAACCTCTACTTAAAGCAACTTAATTCAGAGCATTCCTTCATCAATGGACAGCATTATGTAGATCTTAGTATATCATTTTATGTTCGCAGCATAAAAAATAGCGCCATTGTTTGCCCATGACTAGCATTTACAGTAAACAAAATGTTTTTTGAAGACAATGTAAGCAAACTTGAGAGCAGCTGCCAGGAGATGAGATCGAGTTGTGTTGCTGCTGTCTAAAGCATGCCATGTCTATGTGTAGGATGGGTGTCGCATATTTCCAAAGAGAATTTGTGTTTCAGCATTTGGAGGAGCAAATCCAAACACAATTAACCTTTATCCTGCTGAGTCCCAGATAGCACTTGATCACTTGGGGAGAGGCTTGTGTCTTGTGCCAAATAGAAAAAGTGGTGCTTATCCACTGGGCAAATTCCCAATTGATTAGAAAACAAAAAGATCTGTTACAAATGAGTTTGCCATCTCCAAGACAAAGCAATGGAGTTTTGCAGTCTTTTTTTTTTTTTAAAGCCAAAAGCTGCCTTCCTAGTTTTGCAGTATTATTGTATTGCATTTAGTCTGATTTGGATAATCCATCGAATTTAGCTTTCTGTCACGAAGAGATCAAGCAATGTAAAGCTAGCAGATTTTGCTTGCTCCCCCAGTCAGTTTGCCATTTGCCACAATTGTATAGTGCCTCGGTTGCAGCTGTTGATCCAAAAAAGGTAGAATGGAATCATTGGACAGGTAGAAGGCAAATGGTGCCTAGACCTGATATTTAGAGCAAGATAAACCACAAAGACCATTGTTTATCAACCTTGGAAGCTTTAAGGTAGGTGGACTTCAACTCCCAGAATTCCTCAGCCAGTGTTCTTGTCTTAAAAGTTGCTGATAGTGAAAAGCACTATTCTAAACATGACATTTTCACATGAGAAGATAAAAAAATGTCATATACGAAGACAGACCATTAATCCATCTTGTTCAGAGTTACCTACATCAATTGGTCATGTTCTCCCACCCAAATACTCATCTGGCCTAAATCTGCTTGACTTCCCAATCTAACCAAGGTTAGCCAAGTCCTTCATCATCTGAAAGTGTAGACCACAGACCTGCTAGTCATAGCAGTTGCCTTATACATTATTATCTTCTCCATTAAAAAAAGTTATATTCTGAAATTGTTCTGTAAGGGATTCAAAGTACCATTGGTTGGAGATAATGGGCATTATAATCCCACACACCTGAATCATGAAAAACTGGATCATGATAAATCACTTTGTAACTTAGTAGTGCATTTTATAAATTTAGTCAATATAATAGGCTTTTAAAAATGTTATTATTTAATGACCTTTCTGCATTTCTTTCTATTAAAGTTTTTTTACACTTGGAAATCAAACCTGCTTACCTATAAGCTAGGATTTGTTGTGGCATTATCTTTCTTACAATATTTTTCTTAATTTCTTTTACAATTTTAATACATTCCTAGAGTCAATCTTATACAAGTATAGTCAAAAGTAATCCCCAGTATGTTCAATATGGCTGATGTTGTTATTTATTTCTCAGAAATAAATTCCAATAGCATGATGTAAGATTGAAACTTTGCATTGCAAACCCATGCATGCCTACTCAGAGGTAAACTCAGAGTTCCATAGGACTTAGCCTCAGAAAAGTGAGAACAATATTGTGGTTTCACTTTCCTTTGAAGTCTGAACCACTCTTGAAATTATTTTGTAAGAAACTAAGTTTGGGCTGTATCGATTTTGTGTGGCATTTTTTGCTTTAGATGAGATTTTAATCTGTCTAGCAGAGAAATGCTACTTAGTGGGAAGAAAAATGGTTACTCCTCCATTATTCTTTTGACCTCTGAATATTGTAGGATATAACGCTATTTTCACTTTATAAAATGTGGTCATTTTAATCTTTGGCCTAGCAGTAGTTAAGATGTCAGTTTTAAAATACCACATTTGAAGTATGTGGCATCATAGTTTACAGTAATGTTAGATATTTTGAAAGCAAACTGAATGTTTCCAGTGTGGATTAATGTTCTATACTTTCTAGATTAAATGTTACTTATCATGTTGGCTATGATACACATTTACAGAAAAATATTTACTTGAATATCTTCAGTTACATTCAAAATCAACTATACAAATGCATCCAAACATACACTAGCTTACCAAATTGCATTTTTTTTTATAGACAAACCTTTCAAGATTGCCTCATGAACTTGGATCCAATTGTTGTATGCTCTTATTTCTTATAGGTTTTTTTTTCAGCGAACCTTACAGTAATATAGGAATATGAATATCAAGTGAAATGAAGACTTAAATTATAAAATGTTATCAGTACTGCATTCCTTCATGACTACAAATGCTCAAAAAGAATACCTGTTTCTTTTCTTTCAGACATGTAATGGTTATTTAAAATAAAACAGGGTGTGGGAAGGCACAACGGAGGCGATTAATAGCAATTACTTTTAAAGAGGTGTAAATAACTTGCTATCCAGACATTACAAATATCCAGGTGCTCTTTATGTGCTGATGACAACAAAATTGAAAAGAAAGATGGTAATAATTCTGACTGGTTTTCTCTGCAGAAGATATTGATTATTTGTGTGTGGTGAGAGATTTGGAAAATTCAATTAAAGGAGTTGTGCAAAGGTTTCATAAATTTTCCTTGTACAGCGTGTACACAGACAATGTTGCGTATTAAATCAATGCAGCACTTCACAATATATTTTCTTTGAAACATAAAAATAAATAACATTTAAACAGTTCTGCTTACTACAGAAACAAGTTTTATTTTCCGCGAAGCATTTAGTCATGTGCTATCACTGACTCATACACATTTGCCAGCTGTAACAAATTTTATAGACATTTTCTCCAGAGACATAGTTCATGTACGATGAATTTTTAAATGAGCAAATGGTGAAGAGGAGATATCAGCAATATAAAAATTGATCAGTTAAAAGATAAAAGCATAAGTAAAGAGATTTGTATGGTAGTCTTAATAGGTTTTATTAAATAAAAATACTATAAAAAGAACCATAATGAATAGTCTAAAGATTTTAACTGTGGTTGAGGGTTATGGAGAAAAATTATTCTGGCACGTTTAAGAAAAGAGAGGTTTTATATCAGCAGTCAAGTGACCTTTTTTTTCCCCCTGTCTCTGCTTTCCTTATCCACTTTGGAGTTGCATATGGCTTAAAATGCTCAAACTCTGCATGCACTTGCAAAAATCAAAGCAAAAATCCAGAATAAACTTTTAGAGAGTTTGTGAACTCTTGTGATATGGATGAGATTCTTATTGACTTCACCCAATAGTTACAAATCCCACTTGAAGTTGAAGGTCCCATGCTACCTCTATCTTCCTACTTGTGAGAGGAAAAAAAGGGTGTGTGTGCAAAAAAACAGTTTTAACAAAAGAGGTCCCTTTCTCTCTAATAAAAAGCAGGACAAAATGACTAATGCAATGGAAATGGAATGGGAATAACTTTGGGGGTGCATTGGATTTTGGGGTTTTGGTTATTTTTGTTCAACCAGTTTCATAATTATAAGACACCAATAATCCTATAATCCTATATCCATTCTGGCCAGTACTGTTCAGCTGAAAAATCTTCAGCCTTCACATTTATTTGAATTTAGTCGTAGGTTGTACTCTATTATGACTCATTAATAAGTGAAAAGAATTGAAACTTGAGTATGTTAAAACACCATGTTAAGAGTAAGTTGCTCTTGTTTTGCAGAGAATCTCCAACCTGACAATAGCTTTGCATTCCTGAAATCTCTCATTGGCTAAGGTGAGACATTAATGCTTCTAAAGTATAATATACAAAATCATGTAACGGGAATTTTTGCAAGAATTATAAAGCTCTGATAGCATTAAATTTGTAATGTAATATTATTTAGAAAAAAATGTTTCAAAAGTGTTCACTTGGTTGAATTAGTAATGGAAAAATAACTCAAATGTGATCATAATTATTTTCTCTGCAAATTGATGATTCCCAAATGGCAACAATTTGTACTGTTTCAGATATGATATAATCAAAAAAGCATTATTTAATCCAATTGTATATTCACAGGTTGTAATTCCATCCTTGCATTATTCAGAGGGAATGTACAGTTTGGTATTTGTTTTTAGAAATGCATTTCATTCAGCCTTGGTCAGATGGTCATATTTCAGAATATATTCCAGAATATATTTTAGTTTGCTTTTGTAATTTTGTAAAATCATGTTGTGCTAGACCAGTGCTAGTTAGAACAAATTTTCATGAAGTAACGTTCATCAAGATGAATGTTGTTTATTCCTTATTAAGTCATTTAAGTATATAGTATTTTCAAGACCATGGTCATCTTTTTTATTTTATAAAAAGTTTTATTGGTTTTTTCCATTTTGTTCCAAAAGCTTAGGACACAACGTGGTGATCAGGATGTCAAATCATTCAAAGACAAAATCATATAAATATAGCTCAAATTAATTATCAAAAATTTTCTCTCTGTTTCCTAAATATAGTATTGCTTATTAAAATTAATACATTTTAGGTAAAGTTCAATCAAACAAAAATCATCAATCACATGCGATTATAATAATCTATATCCTGTTTTTAAACTTTACTAATTACAGTTGTCATACTCCAATTACATTTTAGTAAATATAAAGTTGGGATTTCAGGTATCCTTAATAATAGATCATTCACTGAGACTGATTTTTTCTCTATCACAAATAGCTCTTCCCCTCTCTCTATTACAACATAGTTATCATATTTAAAATAATAAGTCCAATTCTATCATTTAATCAATCTACATCTATAGAAAATCTTTTTAAGCCTTGATAAAGTTTACACCTTCAAATACTTATCAACTATAATATCAGGAAATTCCCATCCTTTATTCATAATTAAATCAGACAAACTCTCTCTCTCTATTACAACATAATTATCATATTTAAAATTATAATATAAGTCCAAAAATTACATTTCTGTTTTTAAAAATATATTCTATCATTTCATTAATCTACATCTATAAAGTCTTTTTACCCCCTGAAAAGATTTACTCCCTCAAATAATTATCAACTATAATAACAGTAAATTCACATCCTTCATTCGTTATTAAATCAGACAAAATCTCTAAAGTCTTTTTAACCCATCAAGTAACATTTTATGTCATATTTAAACCTGACTCTAGCTTTCTTTCTATGCCAAGTTAGTTCCCATATTAAAGCTTTTCGGTTATTGAATCTCAAGATTTGATTACAAAAATTTCTAATCAATTCAAACTGAACAAAATTTCTTTCTCTTTCTGCCAATATCATCTGAGTGTTATATTGACTTTTACTCGATGTTATGGTTATAAGTAAATTATCCGCTTTATTGTAATTTCCAGAGGATTGTGTCTGAATATCAATCTTTGTTATTTTTGGTATTTGAACTGAGTCAATTATAGTTACTTCTTGGTCATCAAAGTTATCCATCAGTTGTAGGTAACGTTGTGTAGAATTAGTTAGCTCAGTGGTTTCCACATTTTCTCCCAGTGTAGATTCACAATTGGGTTGTAAGCATAGTGTCTCTGTCTCTTTGAATTGTATGTCTTGATGCGTAGAGGCCTGTTCAGGATTACTCTGTTCATCTTCTATTTTTCCTTGTTCCATAACTTGGTTCATTATTGGAGGGTCGATGTGAGGTTCCAAGGTAGCATCTTTAGATTTTCTCCAAGGTTTCCAATAAGTTTTGAAGTCTTCTGTAAGTTCTAATATTTTTTCTAGTATTAAATCATAGTCAAGATGTGGATAACTTTCATCCATTTTGGTGGTAGATTAACCTATTCCCTTATTAAAGACTGTATTTGAAAAAGATCCACAAATGTCCGCCTCCAAAGGTCTAATAGCCAGCTTCACCATCCAGCTGTCAAGTTATCTTTTCTCTTTTATTATCATATGAAAATCCAATCCCTCTTCAAATAACAGGGAGAAGTACAGTTACAATTTCACTTTTCACCACCAGATGTCCTCAGTGGACTATAAAGTCTTTTTTCCGAATTAATAAAGTTAAAGAGAAAAAAAGAAAAGTTTTCTCTCTTTTTTAAAAAGTTAACAAGAGAGGTATCTCCAGCATTATCAAATTAAAAAAAAACAAAGGAACAATATCCCTTTTTTCTTCTTTTCCCCTAAAATCCCCCCAACAAAAGTCCAATAATAGAAAAAACAACCACAAAAAAATTATTAATCTTTTTCTTTTTTAGCTCTTCTTTCCTAGGCAGCCGCCGCTTTCTTAATAAAGGGAAATAGTCAGGAACTCTTTGTAGGAAAAGTCAGGATAGCGAGAGAAGGAAAGGTCTCACCCGGATTCACCACGGTGGTTCTTCATGCTTAGTTGTTCTTTTGACTTGTGGTTGGTGTGGCTGGTTGATTGGCCATTTTACTGGGCGATCTTCTTCTCCGTCGGCCTCCAGAGTTAGCTCGGACAGCTGGAGGAGCCGCCGTTCCTCTGCAGCTGAGCACAGCCTCCTCAACGGTAGTCGCGCCCTCCAGAGTGACTTTCGACCCGCATAAGGGTCTACCGGCGGAGGGAAGCTAGCTCACGAGGAGACGAGTCTCTTTGTGCGACTAGAGAGCGCTGCGATCCAGAACCGGAAGTCAAGACCATGGTCATCTTATCATCAAACAAAATTTACATATAATACAGAATCAGTATTGTATCATCCCTGGCTGATTTATATTGGAATTTAAGATGGCAGCCCTGTGCTTCAGCATCACTGAAAAGTGGATGATTCTGAGTTGCATAGTGTTCTACTCACCCTTTTATTCTATGAAATAAATGTTACTCCCTTGTTTGCCACGTTGCATCATCAGAGCAAGTGGACTGTAGTTTGCACTGCAGCCCTGATGCTTGTAACACTTATATTAATAAATATAACTTTATTGAAGAGTACAACAGTAAGAAAAACAACAAATAGTGCTGTCTTAGGTTGTTCAGCTAGGAAGAAAAATGCACTCTGAACTGCTTAAGGGATGAAAGAAGCATACATGTTTGGAGCTGAATCAGCAGAAGTTGAGCAACAAAACTTAGTGCAGTACAGAACAAAAGCAGGTTATTTGTTGCCAGTGAGAAAGCAATATAGTTTCTTCATCCTTGGCATTTTGAAACACAATCTGAAAACCCAACAGTACAGCACAAGAGCATGCACAAAGTGCATCCTAAACACTCAATAAGCTGAGAGAGACTTGGCAATCTTAAAAATACCTGGAAGCCCAGCTTTAGTAGAATGCCAGATGCTACAGAGAATGGGGGTGTACCCCAAAGCTCATCAAGCAAACCAAGACAGCATTAGTAACTGTGCAAAGCACAGTAATGCATGTATGAACATAGAAACACTTTTTGCATTACTTGTCTGCAAAATGCCGCAGAGCACATAAGCGAGAATGTATGCTTATGGACAATGTAACTTGCTCATCCATATGTACTTTTGATGCAGAAATTTTTTTTTTTAAAGACCAAAGTGTTTTCCCAAGAAATCCAGCACGCTGGCAGCAGTCTTATTCCATTTAGCCATGTACTTATCTGTTGCTTTCCTTCCAACACTCTCCTCCTCTTATTCCATTCAGCATAAACCAGTAGTAGCAGGAATGAACTGCTATACTAGCTACATGGGGAACAGTTTGGAAAAAGAAACTTGCACATAAATGATAGTATAACAACACGGCACTTAAAATGGTCAGAAAGTTTAAACATGAAAAAGCCAGTTTGTTTTAAAATTCATTCACCACAAATGTATTTTATTGAAAGTACTATCTGATGTCAGAGCATTTTCCATATTCCTAACATAAAGCAGAGATATGATTTCCTCAGGTGAGTCGATGACCTGCTATGACACTCAAAAAGCCACTTGGACCTGTTTCTCAAAACTTGCACGCGCGCGCACACCCCCCCCCCCACACACACACAGGAGGGGAACCTGATTGAAGAGTTTAATTAAAAAGAAATAGAGGCTGCTGTGCATGAGTTTTTTCTCTCTCTCGCCCTCTCTTTGTCTCCTTCCCTTCCTCCCTCCCTCTCTCTCCCTCACCCCTCTCTCTATCCCTCTCTCCGATCTTCTGCTCACCTGGCAAGCTGGCTTCACGCTGTTCTTGGACAAGCTGACACACATTCTTATTGGGCTGGCTCTCTCCTGCTCTTGGTCTGCCAGTTCTCTTCCCCCACTCTGTGTGTGTGTGTGTGTGTGTGTGTGTGTGTGTGTGTGAGAGAGAGAGAGAGAGAGAGAGAGAGAGAGAGAGCTGCTGCTTTCTGCTGCTTCCTGCTTCCTGCTGAGACGCAGCAAAGGACCCCCGCCCAATAAGCTTGTCAGCTTGTCTGAGAACAGCGTGAGGCCACTTTTTTACACACACACAGAGAGAGAGAGAGAGAGAGAGAGATACGCAAATGCCTCTCTCTGTCTCTGTGTCTCTCTCTGCAAATGGCGGAGGAGGCTGGGAGCCACAGGAGAAGGCTCAAAGAGCCACATGTGGCTCCGGAGCCGTGGGTTGCTGACCCATGCCCTTGGCTTTGAGAGGTAGGTAGAAGGCAAGTAGCTGCTAGGGATCTATCAATGAAAAAGCAGCTAGCCTTCAGTCCCAGTACAGATCCATAGAGGCAATATTGTCTCAGGAAACATGTTAACTCTGCTACTAAGTCATGGAGTGTCACTACATAACTGTTCCAGAGAATAGTCTTGCTCAGGATGCTGGTACATAGAAACATTTGCTGGGATCTAGTTAGATATGAGCATTGATTGCCAAAAAGTGAGTATCTTCTCATCTTGCTCAGGTAGTGCAAAGTAATGTGTTCAGTGTTATATTTAAGCCAACAGATGAAATCTCTCTTCTTGTTAATGTTCAGCTTTCCTCATACAACGAGCATGAGAATAGTAGATGTGAATTCACCAATAAGAATCCTAGATAAAGCAGGGTCCTGGTTGAGTCAAGTGGAGCATCTGCTGAATGGCTTATGCATCCTCTTTTCCATCGGGGACATTTCTGCAAACAGGAATGAACTCCACAGAGGAAGATTGATTAAGATTTCCTGTTACTATCAGAAAATTCAAAAGGGTTCAGAAACTTTTAAGTACCATTACCTAATAACAATAAAGGAGAATTCCAATAGATTATGAGTTATTGACGGGCTGACAGTTGACTCTGGCCCCCAACAGCAGCAGCTGCAGTAGTAGTAGTAGGAATGCATGTTCTCACTGTATCTCATAATCCTTGAGTTTTTCTTAGTAGAATGCATAATTAGGAAATAGAAAATAACTTCCATTTATTGTAAAAAGGGAAAATTGCTGAAGAGACATAAACTCATTTGTATTATTATAGTAATCCATAATACACATTTCCGAATCCAAACCTTCGAACACTTAAGTATTATTATTGGTTCTTGGTAGCTAGAAGTTGTCTGTTACCACAGCAATTAAGAGTATTTATTTATTTGGACAACATAGATCAAATAATCAGCATGAAAATAACAGTATTGTGTTAAACATCATCCTCTTTATTTTCTTGATTATTAAGACATTTGGCTATGCTCCCATTTTAAATAATAAACTAAAATAGTGGTGAGCATTTGTATTGTAATAAATGTTTCCTTGCACATCAAGGAAAACAGGATATTTTATTTTCCAATGGTTTGTGTGTGTTTGTATGTTGTATCTTTTAATGGTAATTGGCAATGGTAAACTGTAACATTGGTGCTATTTCCTGTTATTTTAATCATATATTAAAAAAAAAAACCAATCCACAGGTCTTAAGAATATATCAAGCTTGGCTGCAAGATTCTACAACTGTCTGATCCTACTTAAAAGGTTAAAAAAAATCTTCCTGTAAATCTATCTCTCCAGCAAATACCAGCTAAGGATTGCTCAGTGTACCAGGCAGGTGCACATCTAGATACAGTTTCTTGCATCTAATTTAAACTTTACAATCTGTACAACCAGTTAATCTCAATGTAAATAATACACTTGCCATAGCTTTTTATGCAAATATGTAATGGCACAAATTGTATTCCTTCTGTATAGTTTAAAAGCTAAGAAAACTTGTCCAATGTTGGTAAAAATTCTTTAATGAGCTTTTCACTAAATTTTGAAAGAAGGCCTGTTCTTAGAGATGGATGCTATTTCCCAGGCCTTCAAACAAACTGCAAATTTCACAGTAATTATATGCTCCATGCTGCTGCCTCTGATGGCTTGCCAATTCTACCACAAACAATGGAGATGCCTTGCCAATTTACAGCACATTGTTTATCTTATCAGCACACTCAAATTCAAGCAAATATGCCATTTATCTTTGGATATAACCATTCCTTTATTAATAAAGACTTATGAGATCCAAACATTGTATATGCAGTTACTGTTTTAGCAACATTGGTTTCCCAGTGAAGTTCAGTTTTTTTTTTATTGCTAGTGAAACCATCTAATATGTTTTGTGTTATTGGAACTTAAACCACTAAATACATTAAAACTCAATTCTTAAAAGGTTAAGTATTTTTGTGAAATAGTATCTGCAAGCATAAAAATTAAACTGGTTCTAATATAATAAGCTAATCCTTGCTTAATGTCCACTTGTTCGGTGACCATTTGAAATTACAGCACTGAACGAGGGGTACTTACCCATGATCCTTGTAGTTGTGACTATCACAGCATCCTCATGGTAGTTTTATGACCAGTCCTCAAATTTACAACCATTCCAGCATCTCTGTGATCATGTGCTCATGATTCAGGCACTGTACAACTGGCTCATAATTATGTTGCAGCATCCCACAATCATGTAATCACCAGCTATGACCTTTGTTACCAGCATCTAACAATTAAAGTTAGTGGGGAAGCCAGTAGGTAGTTACAAATGGTGATCACATAACTGTGGGACATGACCACCTGGGATTCATATAAATAACAACAACATTGGGACTACTGGAATTAATGCTGTCAGTCAGTGAAGCCATGACACCACACATCTTATGACTGAATAACAAAATAACAGAGGTGGAAGGGACTTTAGAGGTCTTCTAATCCAACTCCTGCCCAAGCAGGAAACCATGTACCATTTCAGACAAGTGGCTGTCCAGTCTCTTCTTAAAAACCTCCAGTGATGGAGCACCCACAACTTCTGAAGGCAAGGCGTTCCACCGATCAATTGTTATACTAGTCCCAATTCCTGTTGGTGAGGACTACCTATATATGCATGGGGACCCATAAATGATTTCACATTTCAGTTTGCATATTAGAGGCACATTTTTAAGACAGACTATTTTGAACGGAAGTAATGAAATGTTTTGTTTGCTTTATGAAAATGTATGCTTTTCTAAATTACCGATAGCTTAATAGCTTACGAATAGCAAAGACTGGAAACTTGAAATTTACTTTCTAATTGTCTTTAACCGGCACAGCTTTTATTATTTATTATTTCTTTCTCTTAAAAAAAGAAAAAGAAAAGAAGATTGCTTCAGAAAACTCATTACCAAGAAATTATCATAAAACAAAAGAGCAACACATCTAAGTCAAATGTTTTGTGTACTTGTATAACTCAATAAAGGTATTTGGCAACCTAGAATGTGAATTAAGAATTCTCATAACATTTATCTGTACGACACTTAAATTTAGAAATAATTGGGAAGGAAAAAACACATCTCAGGATACCATATACAGTATGGAACACCTTATATCTGTCTCCCTAGAGCCATTGGGGCAAAGTCTCCAAGGGTAAGGAGGTTAATGAAATCAGAAGAATATTACAACAACCTTTAGAAAAGGGCCATCTATACTTCGGGTTAAACTGTGTAAATACAACAGAGGGCTTGAAGCAGTCTAACACTGGGTGCTAAAATTCAGGAGCATGAATGAATGCTTTACCATTGCCTGGGCCTCCATAAGGATTAAGTAGCCTATATATTCAGTAGAAAGAGCAAGACTACATCATTTTTCCATACAGGTTTCATACCAACACTATTGGTAGCTATCAATCACAAAGAGAACAGGCCTGGAACTTACTGGAGCTTTAAATTTGCATTTGCTCTTTGTACATAAACCATTATATCTTATAGCCCCTTTTTCTTGTTTTTCTTCATGTTTAGCTGTTCATGCGTTTTGAAGAGCCGCTCATGAGAAGGCAGTATAGAAACAGCATTAAAAAAAAAAGTAGAAAGTGCTTCTCTTTGTATAGAACTATTCTGTACCATATTGGCATGGTTGGGAAAAGTCACCAGACATCTGGTTTCAAAATGTATGAATTAGACTAGCTTAGTGTAGTGAGTCTGGTGCTGGATCAGGAGTGGAGGGGCCGAGTTAAGACCCCTGAATGACCTTGGTCCAATCACACTCTCAGCTCAACACCTTTCACAAGATGATTATGAGGAAAAATGGGAAGAATGCCCTGTATGTGAAATTGTCTTCATGTAGGAAAGCAAGAGATAAATCTGATAAATTATAATGTTTGATTTTAATACAGTCAACTTTTATTTGATAATTTTCCATTTGTCAGTTCTTTTCGTTTTGACGTTTCAGTGTTAAAAAGTTTTTTCCTAAAACGTATGTATGTTATACGAAAACACACACACTGAAGGATAGGGTTGATCACAGTTTTAAAAGCAGGAAAAGGGAATTATTCATAAAAGGTAATTGCTAATCATGCTTATCAACATGTTTCCAAAGAGCTTAATGTATTATACCAAGTTGTAAGTACAACTTTAGTACACAACACAGCTAGTTCTAAATTTCTTAATTATAAGTTGTCTTGCCAATTTTAATGGAATTTACTTCCCTACAGGTTTCCAAAGGATTTCATCTATTAAAGCATTACAGTTACCAGTTTTAGACACTTCTCCCTTTTCAATAATAGCTGTGTAAGCGAACAACCATTTCATATTTCTATGTAAGAAATACCAGATAATTCTCCCTGTACTGAAAGCCATCAGAAGGAGAAAGGAAACAATTCATACATTACTAAGCTTTTTCTATGTTAATGAGCACTTACTCTTGACCTCTGATTACTGCATGGGAAAAAGGATAGCATAGGGTAATAAAAACATGAGACTATTACAGGTAACCCTTAACTTATGAGTGCCACTTAGCAACTGTCCAAAATTATGACAGATCCTCCCAAATTACACCTAATATCAGATTCAATAGTACTATTTAATTGGTATGGTTTTTCCATATATGTATTTCTAGCAGGAAGCTGAATCTAGAGAAAAATCTACGAAAAATAGACCTATTGTATCTGTATTTTAAAAGACTTTATCCAATAAAAAAGTTTAAATATAAATCTGATACTATTTGGAATAGTCCTTAAATGCCAGTATTGGATGAGGATACTGCACTTCAGTAAAAATCAGTATTACATAAAAAGACTTGCCCACATACACAACAATCTCTCTTTCCTACCATTTCCTTTAGGAAGGAAAAGAACCACAGCAAATATACATTTATTATGACTGTACCTCAACCCAGCCCCAAATCAGTTATCTGGTCACTTTTACTTACCATTAATGCTAGGGATTCATACTACATATGGTAGATATCAAAGAGAACCCCATCCATTTCTTCAGAACTTAGAAGTTTACATTCATCCCAGAATCATCACTGAATGCTTAGGGCAAGCTAACAAATAAGCTGATTAGTTAGCGAGCTAGCTAGCTAGCAAGCATGCATATATGCATGCATGCATACATACATATTCTAAATAATAATAATAGTAAAGTTGGAAGGGACCTTGGAAGTCATCTAGTCCAACCCCCTGCTCAGGCAGGAAACCCTGTACCATTTCGGACAAATGGTATAGGACAAATCTTGGTATAGGACAAAAGGTATTCGGACAAATCTTGAGGAAAAGGGAAAGAGAAATAGAGAATGAAATCCCAAGTCAATTGAACATGGATCTTTGGCTAAGAAAGATTTACTGTCAGCTTATGAAAAGGCAAGTCTCTTACAAGACAACATGCAAAGCAACCTGATTATTTTGTAACATGATTTGAGCTTTTCTCGGTGATCTGTTAATTAAGCATTTTAGTTTTAGTGCTGAAGTTAAGTTCTCTTTCTCTTAGTCTACTGAAGAATGAAAGCCTCTTAGTCCAGCACGTTGGTAGATGGATGTTTTTCAACTTTCCAATCAGAAGAGAAAGCGTGGCTGGCCCAAAATTACACAACCAGCTTCCATGCCTATGAAAAGACTAGAACCCAGGTCTCCCTACTCCTAAATCAATTATCTGAATCCTAATGATCACAATGACTCATATGTTTATGTGTGTAGATCTCCCATACTATTAAGACTTACATGTTGATATACATGGAAAGTATTAACCACAGCTACAGTGTACATTGTAATTCCTGTTATGGCCTTCAGATATTATTGAGGTTAATACTGAAATTAAGACTGTCAGGAAAGCACGAACGATGACACTGAATCATGACACTGGACCTTGATGATTTTAAGCTTATAATAGAGAGGATAGTGAAATTTAGTATAAGGCAATTTATTATATGTAATCAAATACACTGTAAGAGATAGCACTTAGTAGCAATAGACATGAGTAATAGCTGTAACATACAACCTGTAACGTCAACATGTTTTATTTTGGGAAGTGCACTAAACCAATCATAACATTATTAAATTATTGAGGTATTATATCTGTTTAAAATAAACTTGCACAGATTGTTGAGATGCTTCTTATTTTCTGGATTTATTTTGAACTTACTATCAAACTTACTGTTTGGGTTCTTTGTTATTGTACAGAAAAGAGCAAGTAAGCACAAAAGAACATGTAAATATTTTAATTTGGCTTTTCTTAGAAAATACATGAAATGACAAAAAGAATTTCATTCCATTATCGAACACTTTAAGACAAAGGTCTATGGAAATATTAATGGTATGTCCCAAGTAAGAGCCATTAATTTTCTAAGTTGGCATTTAAAATTAATTATTTTTTTTCTGGTTTCGACCATCTTTTGATTCCCACATTGCAATGATGTTAAAATACAGTAAGAAAAAGAGAAAGTGTAAGCAGGATACAACAGAGACAGCTACTGGAAATAAATCTGGCAGATGCTTTGGCGGTTCCACCGTAGCGCTCATTAGAGTTAGGATGCTCATCAGAGTTACTGAGATGAAGAACTGAATAGGAGAAGAGAAGAGAAAAGAGGTGATGATGGTTACTACAATGCCCAGTAAGTGGTTTCTTTGGGTGTTTTTTTTCATCATCCTTACAAAGGATATTGGGTGACATATACATTTAATAAATAAATATTTCAATGAATTTAATGTCTCTGCAGCACATCATATTTACCAGTTGCCAGTTGATGCTAATAAAACAACCTGGAATATACATGAAATAGTAGAAAAATAATCCTACTATTGCTAATGTATATAAAGTGCTCACAGCATTACCAACATGGTAACGCACCGGAATGAAGGAGTACATTTTATTAGTCAACTTGAAGGATTATGGTTATCAGATGCTAGATGCTGCTCAGAAGTAATGCAGAACAGATACGTGTTCAATCGTTTGATAACAGCATTACTGAATAACGTAATTCAATAATTCAACTGGGGAGTTTGGCAACTTAATATAGTGGTTTGTGCTTTGGTAAGAAAAACAAATGCAAATCATGAATATGGACTTGGTAAAATGAGTGCATATGATATATATTTGAAACAGTTACTTACTAAACTCTTCATAACTTTTGAAAATGTCTTAAACCAAGTAATGTATTTCCTTAGATAACTGGAAAGCTTTTTTAGCTGCAGATCTTCTTCGGATGTTTTTTCAAATATTGAAAAAGAAGTTGTACACACCAGGAGGAAAGCCAAAATTGTGACAGTGTAAGACAAAAAAAGGCCATCCTTTAATAGAAGGGGAAGCATGCTGTAAAGGGAAATATGAATTACTGTGAATTCTAGCAAGGTTATACAAGCCAAAAAATTACTATGTAAAATAAATCTTAAAATGTCTTCTCAAAGTAAGAAGAATTGTTTAGAAATAACATTCGAACTCACCTGAAAGTTGAAACTAAAAGAAACCATGTAGAGATAAAAGGAATGTCATGTATAACTAAGCAGACTGGTCTAAGGAGAAAACCAAAATATAAGCTCAAAAGCATTGTTTAAGAAACATAATAACTTTTCAGCTGCTGCTTCTCTGAGAATCTTAAAGGGCAGTAAAATAAATGAATTAACACTCTAAATACTGGATCTTTCTACAGGAGTAAGCAATACTTCATGTTTTTCATACTTTCTGCAATAAAAGAATCTGGTTGCATGGTCACTGCTGATCAGCTACACCAGGGGTGTCAAACTCGCAACGTCACATGACATTTTGCGACGTATCGTGACTTTTTTTCCATTGCTGGCAATGGGGTGGGCGTGGTTTCAGCATGATGCATCCGGCCCGCAGGCCGGTAGTTTGATACCCCTGAACTACACCTTCAATGCATACTCAGTATTCTGGGACCTAAGAAAAATCCATGATTTCACCTTCCTGATTCTATTCGGGGAGCATAAATTCATAGACACACAAGTCACATGTTATGCAAATGTAGTGCTCCTGTATAGGAGCTTGAATCTTATTCTAGAACCTTTTTGTCAGCACTACAGTTTTTCTCACACATATTTCCAGGTATCAGTCTGAAGTGTTTTAATATAATAATTAAAGTATTTTTTAATATAAAATGCTACTTACACCGAAACAAGAAGAATAGATTTTTCATGCACTTGGAATGAGAAGAGAAAGAAAGACAATGAACAGCAAACCTTTGAAAAAGAAAGTTAACAATGTTAAATGCTAGACAAGATCTGCTTTTATTTCTACTGAGGATTTTTGTGCTATTAATCATGGCCAATCGGTTCCACACTTTTATTACCAAAAGCTTTTATTTATATCATAAACTATGGCTACTTGGCCAAGGCTCACAATATTTGATAAAAAGCTTTAAATTAATAGCATATCTACCTGGATACCTTTGTTAGCTAATTAGTTGATGAGAGATGCTAGCATGAACCATCAACCAGGTAAGGGCCTCTAAACAAATGAATATAACTCACAAATCACTGATATAAAAACTACCGTAAGTGATCTAGACAAATTGAGAAGGATTTAAAGTAGGCTTCTAGTATGATGGAGCTCTACCCATCTCTGAACTGAAATACTAAATTTGGCTGAGAAGTTTTATGATCAGTTTTTAATCACACCTTCAAGTTTTTCAATGTTCTGACAAATATTAGAGGTAGCAGTCCAATGATAGTGCAAGAGCCTATCATTTAAGCAAGTTATTCATGTTTACTGTTCAATGAGATATCATGGATTATTTTATTGCCAAATAACTCCACACTAAAGAGTAAAGAGATATTCTACTAAATAGACTACTGTCTATGGAGTAGAATATCTCCTAACTTATTGTGCATGCAGATGATGACAGATTAGAGACCATAGTTGAAGATCCTTAAAGAATTGATAAGAAAATAGCTAGTTACAACAGAAGGCAATATATGTGATTCACAGGGTTGAACTGTAGAGTTCTTAATGTTCTCTGATCTTGGTTTGCTTCAGGATATTTCATTAGCCAACAAGGTAACATCATAGGTGCCATCATTATGTTCCATAATCATGATGTTACCCAGGTGGGTAATGAAATGTTTGCAAGCAAACAATCAAGCTCAGAGAGCATCAAGGACTCCACAAATCAAGCTCCCATTAGCTGCATTCTAGGAAACTAAAAGAACTTGATAAAAACAAAACAAATTTTTAAATGGACAAATCATAATAAGATGGTAGACGAAGCATTATAAAAGATAGATTTGGGGTATCTTCCCAACCCAGGATTTTTTTTTACCAAAATAACCTGTAAGATCCTTTTCACTTTATGATGATTCCCAATACTACAGTGTAATTTGTATCTTTGCTAAATAAATATTTCATTCCAAAACTTTTTTTATCAATTTTACTATGTTATTTTCCTTCTGTAATGGAAAATTAAAGGAATTTTTGGCAAAAGAAAAAAAAGGAACAAATATGGAGTTTTAAGTTGCCTCTGATGGCCTCCTTTGGAAAGAAATGTTTTGTTTTATTAGATTTCTACCTCACCTTATTACTTTTTAAGTAACCCAAGCAGCAAGCATACATATTAAACATAGATAATACTCCTTACTCTCCTATTTTCCCCACCACACACCCTTTGAGCTTGTTTGGGCTGAGAGAGAGTGACTGGCCCAAGGTCATATAGCTGGCTTTCAGTTCTAAGACAGGACTAGAACTCATGGTTCTTAGTTTCTAGGCAAAAACCTTAATCACTATACACACAAATACACAAATAAATAAATTAGAGGAAGCATGCAGAACATAATTTCTTAAATTCTTTCCAACTCTCTAGTCTCCATGCTAGATCACATGATAAAATGAAGCAGGAAAGGGGAAGTTAAGAATGGGAAAGTCAGCAGCATTTTGCCCAACTGATTGTTTTATAGGGAATCACTGATTGGAATTGTTTTTTTTCCACTTCTCTACATCCCTATCAGCCATAACAGAGATAAAGAAAAGAGATTATTACATATTACAAAACTATGAATTAAATTATGTTTAAATATGTGTTATTATACACTTACCAAGCCATATTTAAATCCTCTGAGCGAAGGTTGCAGCGTCAATTTTATGCAACTGGGAAGTACAGTCAGGAATGTTAAAGCAAAACTAAAAAATAAAGTAATAATATATTAAAACCATTGATTTCAACAACCAGATTAATTCTGAATCAAGAATCAGATGAGAATTGTTTAGGAACACTTTGGTATTGCTCAGTTTTTATAGTTACAAAGAGAAATAGGATTCCTTTCATGATGATGATGTTATCGATTCAGCTGACTCAATCACAAATTAATAAACCAACAAGCAGAGAACAGCTCCACAAAATGTTGAAATAATCTTTTTTTTATTAAAGCTGTTTAACTATATAATTCTATATAGTTTTATATAACATAAATAATTCTAACTCTAAATAATTCTAAATTATGTTCTTTAAAATGCATCTTTTGCTAAAACCATAATATGAAAATGCTTGGGAGTTTGATATTTACATACCTTAATTTAAGTTGTGTTTCTGTTGGCAGAATTGTCTTTATTTTGAAAAGAATGCTTGCAGTGCACCAAATATTGGCTACTTTATCCTGAAAATATATTTAATGTATGCATTATTTTGAAGGTAAAGCATACTTTTATATACAAGGAATGGCAGAAATCATCTACATGAAATTAAACGTATCTGTGTACTCTTTTTGAAGAGACCACAGACTGTCAATGCTACAAAATCACCTGTAACTATGTATTATCCATATTTTAAAAAGCAACATGAAACATTCTTCAAATGTGAAGCCACACTACATTCTGCCACATTCTCTTACTAGTACATATTTAGCACCGCTTTCCTAGCTGCCAGCAATGACAGAGTTAACCCCTAATAAATCACGAAGTTTAAAGACATTAGCAGTTGTGCTAGGATCACTTTCCAAATTAAATTTGTAACCACACAGCTAGCATACTCATGAAACTCATCCCTAAACAGCTGCTTGAATCACAGCTGTGTAGACATAACAGCAAAAAAGCTACTACAAACAACTGAACAATCTCCTTGTTCTCTTACAAGAATACAGAACACACACTGCAAATTTGCTGAAGGTGACAAGTGCCTGGCAGCACTACCAACATATAAGGTGCCAAACTAATAGCCAGTGAAGTTTTACAATTATCAGCACTGAAGACATGTCTGTAAATGGGAATCAATTCAAAGAACCTGTCATAGGCACCCCAGGATAAACTTACTGTGCATTGCTTAGGTAGACAGTTTCTTAGTTTACCCAGATTAATATCCCAATCAGCCATTCCTGTGCCAGCTCTAAAAATCTTTCAGTTAACACCGAATACACTGTGTGTAGTTTTTAAATCATACAGACCCATTTTATTAAAATCTACGGCACATTTTTTTTGTTTTTAAAGCATAAAGTGAGATTAACAGTCAGAAAAACAAACTGCTTGACAGCCCTTTGGCTTATGAATTTCTATTCTTCATGTCACATTTCTATTTCATCGTGTAACATTTCAGTTAGTATATGAACTGGGGAATAAGATCCTAGGTGTTTCTTACAATGTGCCATCACCAGTGCTGTGCTTCTTAATGATTTTCAGATGCGAGTCTGCTGCAAACTGTATCACTATTTCTCTGTCTGATGCAAACAAATTAATAAATGTAATACCAGTAATAAAACCATCCAGTTTATGGTCAGCATCTTTAGGCTTTACCTCACCCAAGCAAATTGTACATTTTCCACCAGGACAAATTTAAACCATGCAAAGTTGAGCATCAGCCCAATAACTATTTTGGAAGGGTTTTTTTTTTTAAAAAAAAAACAAACAAACATTGAATTCATTTTTTTTCATATTGAATTATTTTTTTTAAAACCTCTAGATTGTGCAAGGACATTGTTTACTATTGTGGAATATATTTGAAAAATGTATGCCTGCACTATAGATCTGACGATGGGATTAATTCTATTTGTATAATATCCTAGAAGATGCCAGCTGAGCTAGGGGTTAAATGCTGGATTAAATAACTGGCAAGAAATGACAGTCAGAGAAGCCAGATCATATTACTAGCCTTCTGGTGTATCTTCCACATGAAATCCCTAAGGGTCAAAGTGAAGGTTTCTCAAGGGAGCTAAAAATATAAAACATTTACAAGAAGCTTGGGAGGGGGAACATGAGGCATACCTCAAACAAACCTCGATCTATTGGAAAGAGCCTTCGGAGCACTTGCAAAACTTGTTCAATGTCCATACAAAATGGGAGCCAGCAGATTGCAAAAGAAAGAATGACAATAAAAGACAGTTTCATCAACAGCCATAACCTGTAAGAAAAAGAAGAAGAAGAAGAAATCAAGCCCCGAAGAAAGAGAATTTTTATGTACAGCACTTTCAAACTTAAAAGTTTACTTTCCCAAGTAGGAAATCTGTTAGAAAAGTTAAGAAAACTGTTAAATACGCTCTCCCTGCCACCCCCAAAAGAAGAAGAGAAAAAAAAACATTCTAAACTCTTATCTTCTAAATATGGGTATGCATTTGTGACCTGTGCTTAACTAATGACAGGTGTTGAAGAGAAAAGATAGTTGTGTGTATTTTGATACACCATAGACACTCTTAAAACTATTTAGTATGTTATTTAATGACTTAGGAGAAACACGCTTCTCTGGGGGAAGGGGGATGATAATGACATGAATCCCTACTGCAAAGGCTAATCAAGAAATGAATGACATGCACAAATTCCCAAGGCAAAACAGCCTTAAGTGCATTCCAGGACCATTTTCTGGATGTCAGCTTGTGAAGATACTCACCCCTTGCCCATCAGGCCTTTCTTGAAGCACTTTCCCAGCAGGTAGCAGAAGAAGGGCAAAGCGTGGTAGAGCTCCATTTGTTTGTAGTTTAGAGCAAAACAAAATGCTACAGAGCCCAAAAGGTCAAAGTCATAAGAGAGAAACAGCACTCCCCACAAAGCGAGACCAAGACTCACGGAATTATATATGTTTGTTCTGTTAAGGGTGACAATCTGTAAAGAGCTGGCTGGTGAAGACTATGCAAATATAGCAAGGATTCTGTTGATTGTTCCGCTGCCACCAAACCCTATTTCATGCCACAGAAGCATCGTTCTGAGATGGCCTGAAAACAACTTTTATGTCTTAATATAATAAAATGGGGCAGAAAAAATGTAGCTTGCACTCTAGTTGTGCCATGTGTTGCTTTGACTACCCTCACCCTTCCCCTTTTCTTACCCACACAGCAACAGACCTATTCCACAATATCCATGCATTACAAAAAAATGTCTTCACAGAACAACAACCAAAAAAAGATACTGAAAATGTCCATAGTCAATCAGAATGAGACCTGGATAAAGCAATGTGCAGAGAGCACTAGAAATCTGAGAAAAAAAAATCAATGAAACAGGTAAAATGTGAATATTCATTTTCTTTAGAAAGATTATACTGGAACTGTCAGCCCACTGAACTTCTTCCATCTAAAAAGATGCAAACAAAGTAGTGCTGAATCTATTGCAAGGCAATCTATTTTGTTTTTGATTGTTTTTCAAAAGTATAACTCAATTACATGTTTAATGTTTGTTTATTAAATTGATATTCCAACCTTTGTTCACAAACTCAAGGCAGTGTAAGTAACACTCTTGTCTTCCATTTCCCCCCACAGCTACTCTGTAAGGCAGGTTGGAGCAAGAGTGTGTTGGGCCCAAAATGAGCTTCCATGGCTGAGGGTACCCTTGTGACTCAGAAACATAAAATAAAATGATTGTGACACGCAGACTTTGTACTATAACAAGATCTGAGATTTACTTGGCCCAAGGAATTACAAGTTACAGTAGGCTAATATGAGAGAAACACCCATTAGATAAGAATGACGTGTCTCTCTGATGATTTTAATGTAGGAAATCATTCACAGGTGCTCTGAATTGGATGCTAGGTGGACAGGGATCTCACGGGGTGGCATGGGGGAGGTTTTTCAGCCAGTGATTTACAAAGAAGTAGACAAGGTTCTCTGTAGGCTGACAACTGCCATTTTTGGACTTGATCCCTGACCCTGTTAGCTAGTTAAAACAGGATATCTTTGAGACTACCTATCCCATATAAAATTTCTAGTGCCAGAAATATTATATTAATTATGTTTATTATAATACATCATCATCTTACCCTATATGGTTGCTATTGCATATCGTTGTTATTAAGTTGGCAGTGGCTATTACTTCTATATACTTTTTCTAAAGTCATAAACAAATAAAAAGTAAATAATCTATCCCGACTACGGGCTATATTTTCTTTATTTAAAAAAAGGTTCTGTCTATAAAGATTATAAGAGATGTATATGATCTTGCTAATGGAGATGGGACCAAAACTAGTCCTTTTTTTCCTCTGCGGAAAGAGATTTTTGGGGAAAGTTATAGGAATAAAACAGATATGGAACTAAATAAGTATTACAGAAGCTTAAGATATTTCTTCACTTTCTGGGAGCATAGTGAGGTTTATTTGTGCAATCTGAAGATCTGGAAAAGATTTATGAGAACTGATATCTATTTCCTATATTCTACATACTGCTTCATCTTTCATCAGAATAAGACTAAGAATTTTGAATTCAGAAATAATATATATTTTGAGAGTAGAACAGTGCCTCTTAGGTCTAAGGATATTAAAGTTACATTTGATTCAACTATCTACAGTATCCTAAGTCTTGAATAAGAATCTAGAGCAGTCCTGCACAATTTTAATTAATTCAAATTTGGTTTAATGCCTAGTTCTGAATCTAGGCAACCTCTAGTTTTCAGGACTCCTCACTAGTTTTTGATACAACCAACAGTAATATTCTTCTATGTAATTTGGCTGGGCTGAACTGAGAGGTGATGCTGATCCATTCTGATAGATTAGTTTGAGGTAGGATTTTGAAACATTGGCTCTCCGCAGCAGCCATTGACTTGAGGATTAATTTTTATTTATTATTTGTTTCCCGTGTTTTCTTATTTTTATGAACAACTCAAGATAGCAAACATATCCAACATAGCTTCCTTCCTCTATTTTCCACACAACAACCACCCTGTGAGGTGGGTTGGGCTGAAAGAGAGTGACTGAGTCATCCAACCAGGTTTCATGGCTAAGGTGTGACTAGAACTCACGGTCTCCCACTTCCTAGCCTGGTACTTTAACCACCAGACCAAATTGGCTCTATGTTAATCATATTTTATGCTACATGTTTTAACTGTAATCCTTATTTATTTTACATAAATAGATCAACATGTATTTGTTTCTTGTGAAACACCATAATAAATGCTGTTAAATTAATATTTTTATTATAACTGGACTAATATTGTTTATCTAATTATTCGCTACATTCCTTACTTTTTTCACAGAGAAGCAACATTATTTTTGTTGCAAAGAAAAATATACCAACCTTCTTTTTTAGTGATGTCTCTTTTAAATAAAAGCAGTATAAGATTACTGCAGGAATATAAACTAGCATATCAGCAACAAGAACTGCAAGACAGAAAATGATATACAATAATCAAACCAATATTTCTCATAATTCCATTTTGTTTTTCCTTAATTGTTGTTTTCATTATGAATCATTGATGGAATTTTCTTCATACTTTCCCCTGCATGTTATGGATCAGGAATGCAACCTGATCAAATGGGCACTAACCACAGCTGGGTGGTTGCCACTTTGTCTCTTTTTTATTGAAAAAAACAACAACAACTAATAAACATTCCATTAAAATGAGCTAATCAAGGTTAAACCACTATGGCCAAAATGGGAAATCTACATTTTCTGTCCATATTTCGTATGTACCTAGATGACTATAATATGTGCAAACATGGCTGTTTCTGTATGTGTCTCCATGTATGTGTGCTTGTGTGTGTACAATAATCACAGAGAAGGAGTTCCTAGTTACAGGCACTGCTGATGTTTAAAATGCTAGGAAAAACAACAAAAACATTATCGTGTGTCAGGTGGGCCTCTGGAACATGGAGACCACTGGAGTGCTTGATAGGATTGTTTCTGCAATCCTCCTCCCAATTGATGATCCTGGGTGGCTGCTTGGTTTAATGAAGAATTAAGGGAAATGAAATGACTAAAGGGACGTCCACAAGCAGCAGTCACAGAAAAAACAGAAATACATCAGACCATGTACTGATAAGGGTTCGCTTTTAAGCTGCACATCAGCAGCAAGAGAAGCAAAGCATGAATTCTTTGCATTTACTGCACTCACAGATTTTCTCCTAGCAGCTTCAATCAAAGCCATCAGGGGTTTTTAGGGAAATATGGGTGGGTTAAGATACCTACAAGCTCAGATAACATTGCTCACGTGGGCTGGATGCCAGTGGAACAGAACCCAATACAGTGAGCAAATCTGGATCCTGTAGTATTATCTAAGATATTTTTGAGACTACAGTCAATGAAGTGAGCATGCTTTATTAGTATCTCAAAGAGGGAAGTGTGTTGTTCTCGGTCCTTTAGGCTCTCTTACTGGTGTTGTTACCATCCATCATTGTACGAGGGCAATTCAGAAATAAACCTCCGTTTGGTTATCAATGACAGACACTCGCAGATATAGAACTTTTATTATTCACATTAGAAAACATCATTACATTACTTTTTGACATAATCACCATTCAAATTGAGGCACTTGTCATAACGTCTTACAAGGTTTGAAATTCCTTAGTAGTAGTCGCTTGGCGCCAAATCTGGGCAATGAGGGGCTGATCAAAAACATCCCAATGGAACTGCTTCAAAAGTTATTGGGTACATCTAGTGATGTGCAGATAAGCATTATCGTGAACCAACACCACGCCAGTAGTGGTGCCATAGAAAATCCTGCCAAATGTGAAGATGCCAAAGGAGTATTGCTAGTGAAGTTCATGGAGCGTGGTTCAACCATCAATTCAGAAGTCTACTGCAAAATGTTACAAAAACTCAGACGAGCCATCCATAAGAAGCGTCGGGGCATGCTGACTGTGGAGTTGGTTCATGATGTGGTGTTGGTTCACGATGATACTTGCCAAGCTAGACACACCCAAGAACCTTTGAAGCAGTTCCGTAGGGATGTTTTTGATCACCACACACCCATAGCCCAGATTCGGCACCGAGTGACTACTACTAAGGAATTTCAAACCTTGTAAGATGTTATGACAAGTGCCTCAATTTGAATGGTGATTATGTCAAAAAGTAATGTAATGTTGTAGTTTTCTAATGTGTATAATAAAAGTTCTGTATCTGCAAGTGTCTGTCATTGATAACCAAACGGAGGTTTATTTCCGAATTGCCCTTGTATTCTGTTGGGCTGCCTGCAAAAGCTGGGAAGTTGGAGGCTATCAAAGTATTTGAAGACTATCAAAATCTGGACTCTATTTTATTACCAGAAACATCCATTTTGAAGGAGGTGTTTAGAATTCATTTATTGTTCTATATTTATGCTGTTGAAATCTATCTAGAATTCTCTGATTGGGGGAGACTATAAAAATAGAAAATAGAAGAGCAGAAATTCATTGCAAAAGATACCAAAATAAAACATCAGCTGAAGCTGACATTAACCCAATGAAACTGTTGACAATTTTCCAATTCAAAAAAAGGGAGAAGTACAAGAGGTATGTGGGACAGAGGTTCATTTTCATAATACTAAGTTTGATTATTGCCACTATCCCAACCACTTGAGTATGTGCACCTCATGGTATAGGAGGCACGCTCATTTGTTATATAATAATTATAAAATTATTATATTCATAAAGTTAGTTTTTTTAAAATATATGTATATATATATATACCGCCAAATTATGACATGAGTGATTTTTCAAAACATTAGTTTTTTTTCAGTATATACACTCCTTAGAGGGAGAATTTTCTAAAAGGGAAAAAAATAATGGTTAACATTTAACAATATTGGATTCTGTAACCTTGATAACATTCATTTAATGGCTATTGTTAAAAAATGTCTATCCATTTGTTTGGTTTATACATCAGTGATTTATCAGGCGTGTTGACTTGAGCGTTATTAAAGACTATTTCAAGGGTAATTTGGTTCTAGTGATTTTTAAAATGCAATCAATTACTAAAGACCAGATGGAAAGGTTTGTGGCCAACATAAGAGGTGATGCAGAGGAGTATCTAATTCTGCCCAAGTTAATCAGCAATAAGAAGAAACTAACGTAAGTTGTTGGGTTTTTGTTTTTTTTTGCACAACTCTATTCACTCCTGGAGAACGAATAACACAAACCAATTAAGCTGCTTAATAAAAAAGTCATATGATATGCTGGCTTTGTTTTTCTATCATTATTAACCACCATATTAATATCAATTAATGTGTTTAAGAAAACAATAATCATTCTGATTTAATTGTAAAAGTAATCACTACTTAATGCAGTGTTTCTCAACCTTGACAATTTTAAGGCATGTGGACTTCAACTCCCAGAATTCCACAGCCAGCATTGCTGGCTGTGGAATTCTGGGAGTTGAAGTCCACATGCCTTAAAATTGTCAAGGTTGAGAAACACTGACTTAATGTTATGATTCTATATAGAACACTAGCAATTTTTAAATGGCTGGGAAAAGTTATTACATAATAAGAAAAATATTGTTATGCAGTAAGAAGCAGGGCTTTTTTTCTCATAGAACGCCCAGAACTGAGTTCCGGCACCTTTTGGGGATGGAATCTTGTAGGGTAGGCAAGGCAGGTTGTATGACGTGTGTGAGTTCTGGCACCTTTTTTTTTTTTTGTAGAAAAAAAGCACTGGTAAGAAGCATTTAATTTTGTATGTGCATATTAGCATCCATCTCAGTAGCAACCTAAAAATGTTGGCTGGACCCAAATTAACAGTTTCAGCTCTACTGCAACTGTCTGTTTTTTCTCTCTTTGCTGTTCCAGTCCTCTATGGAAAATCACCAAATCCCTGACAATATCTTTTCAGTAAGCATGGAGAGTAACATCTAGTCCAGGATAATCCAGCCTTAGCAACTTGAAGAACTGCGGCTTCAAATCCAGCCTGGCTAGCTAGGGAATTCTGGGAGTTGAAGTCCACAGGTCTTAAAGTTGCCAAGGCTGAACATTCCTGATCTAGTCTATCAAAATTTAGTCTGGTATTCCCATAAAAACTGAAAACACTTGAAGGAAGAAGAAGCATATATTGTATATATGGAATTAGAATTAGTCAAAGCTTCTATTTCATTTAGTGTTGTCATCTTGTACACATCTATAGGTTATTGACTCGAGCTTCAGTGTTATCAAAAATTTAGTTTTATATAATGTGGAATGGAGGACAAGCTGTCACTTTACTGCCATTATTTATTGAGCATTTTGTATTCAAATATTACTTGCATATTAGACAAAGCAGATTTAATTACATAATGTAAAATAAAACAATGTAACTGCTACAATATTATTCAGAATTCTGTAATATAGTTCCTTGAACAATCCCTTTCATAATAGTATTTTGTAAGTATAACACTGTATTATTATTAGCAGACTGATACCAATAGAGATTATAATTACTTCTATCAAACTCTGCAAACTCCTCTTATATGGAGCATTTCCAGATGAACAATATAGGATCCAATAAAATGTTTTGTATGGTTTTGTTTTAAAAAAACCCATTTCCTACCTGATGCACGCATAAATAACTTGTGTGACTGACTCTCATACCCACGAGATGTGTGTAGAGTAATCCAACTGGGATTTATTAACTTTGCCCTAAAAAAGTTACAAATAAGAAAAAACAGAGAATTCTCCTAGGTGAATACTTATAAGGTATGATAGGACAAATTAATCTAAATTTGTAATAACTGTTGTTCATTTAACGGTACTTAATCATCAAATGTTAAAAAAAACCACATAGTAGTTTTTCTTTTGAATGTTGTAAACATATTCCTCAGATTTTTAACAGTAAAACAAGGCAGCAGAGACAACTCTGAATAATATTCTTCATCTTAAATGAATTTACAAGAATTCTTTGGCTTTCAGTCCAGTTTCTGAAAACTAAAAGCAATAGTAAAAAACACTGCTGTTAATTTTAACATATCTATTCCAGTGTTTTTTTTAAACAAAAAATAGCTATGTTGATCACAGGAAAAAAGCAAAACTCATATTGTAACAATAGTATTATAAACCCAGTTCAAGGTAATAAAATAGCATACAATTTTCTGGATCTATGCAGAGCTTTTATCAGTTAGCTATATTTCTTTTATAAAAGTAAAAAAAGGAAATTGTAGCCATTAATTTGTTAATTACAATTTTGTTAAGAATAGAATAGGCAACCTGCTATTCTCTTGGTATTTTTAATTTCAGTCTTGTCAACACAAGGCAGAATAACCACCTACATAGAACTACAGTTTTAAATATCTAGAGAGATTGCCCATTTCTGAGACAAAATATAAGAAATAAAGTCTAAAGTCTTTTGTGTCCTTCAACACAAGATTTATTCATTTTTAAACTTTAAAGTGATATCTCTTCAAAGCTGCTTCTCAATTGGCCTCTGCAAACTAGAAACATAGGTACATATTGATCACTGTGAACAAATGTTTTTTATCTTGCTACAGATTAAAACAGAGAAGTCCCACTTAAAGCCTATCCTTCTTATACTGATACTGATACTGATCATTTATCAAATTTGTGTGCCACCCAACTCTCAACAACTTAGCTTGTGATAGAGGACTGTATGATCAAAATTGTGAAATATTTCAACATCTTAATGAAAAATGCCTCGGACATATACAATAATATAAAATAAAATAGTCTTTTTAAACATAAGATATATGTAGTTATATACGGGACAAAAAGAATTAGATGCTTAAGCTGAATACATAAATCCTGGGCTATATATAAGATTCATTATATCTCTGTGTCTCATCTGTAACAATTTTGGTATTTGGGTAGTACTTTCATATACAGTTTGTTAGCAAAATGTGAAATAATATGAATGCCTTAACTAATATATTATAAGATAAATTGTACAGGGGTGGGCAACTTGCAACCCAGTTGTCTCTTGCACCCAAAGCATGGTCACTAGAATTCTTCAAAGTAGCTGCAATGTTGCTTTTGGGGAAATTTGGAGGATTTATATTGAAGGGCTTCCCCCAATTTAGAGGAGGTAGAATTTAAGGAACAAATATGGAAATAATTTCTTGATGTGACCCCAATCCAGTGAGCCAGGAATTCAGCCATTTATTATTATTATTATTATTATTATTATTATTATTATTATTATTATTATTATTATTATATAACATCCATATCCAATCATTTTCCTTATTCTCCATAAAAAATATCTTGTTAGGGATATTAATCTCTGAATATGCTACAGAACACTTATGGATATAAAGAACTTCTGAATTAGAATCCTTTTTTTCTTTTTAAAGAACTATTTTAAACAGTTGGCTATATAATAATTAACTTACACATAAGCGCACAGAAGACTGTGATAAGCAGTAAGAGGTGGGTAGTCAAGGCCCCAATACTGTAAATTATTGTCACTGGTGTTAAAGTACCTGAAAAATAAAGTAAAATTCTAAATAAATATACGGTTAGCATATTTTGGGATAATATCTCTTTTATTTTCTTATATAAATCTGAGGCTATTTTGTGACAGCTTCTGAGAAAGCAAGCTTTTTTCTCCCCCCAAATCATCTTTGGACAGCTTTCTGAATAAGTGTTTCTTAAATAATAGTCTGCAGAATAATAATGGAAATAAAATGTGTTTTTATATTAATTATATGTAATTGTATAAAATGCCACCATGGCTTTAAAATCTTCAATATAGGTATAAGATTTCACAGAGGTTTTGTAGTCTTCAATGTAGCTTTTTCTATATTTAGGGAAAACCAAGATCTAATTCTATTACTTTCACTGTAAAAACACACAAACATCAGAGATAAAAAGGAATGATTGACTGTTTTTGTCAGCACACAAATGCTGCAGTTAGAAGAAAAAAACTGTTCTATGTCAAGTGTGTTCAGATGGTACTGTTGTTTTACAGAAAGATGAGCTTTGGAAAACTAATTGATCTTAACCAAATGTAACCAAATTGTTGATACTACAGAATTTCAACACACGTGATAAGCATCACGAACCAGCTCAAGACTTATCAATAGTAACAAATTCAGCTGGTCCTCTAAATCCTCTAGAGAACAATACGAAAGTGCAAAGGCAAAGAATGTCTTTCTGTATAAGTCTTCTGTACTGTACATTTGAGTGGAGAGTAATCAGAATTTAGACACATCTTCAAATTGAAAGACTTCAGAAGGTTTTATTCAATGAAAATAAAAATTACAAAAATAAGATATCAGAACCTTTAAATCGTGTGAAACAGACTGACTACTATTTTATAATTGCCAGGGGCAAGTCTTTAGTTTTTCCAGTCTATCCAGTCAAATACAGCCAGTTTCTGACATTTATTGCAATAAATGATACTTCTTGAATACCTTATAAGCAGCCTGAAGTATCTTATGAACAATTCATGATAAATCATATTTCTTACAGCTGCATCTCTACCCTTTTATCCCACTATTTAAATTTTCTCACACCAGGATAGTTTTAACTTCTTTATTACAGTATTAATATTCTGCATTTTACTTGTTAATATCTCATTTATTCATCCAGTATTGCCCTCTAATTCAGTCTTGGACTCCATTAGAAAAGGTTCGTGCATACTGATGAAGAGAAGGCAAAGAAATTCCATATTTCTAACTAGCAATAAGGAAGAAAAGATGCTGTCAAGATTGTCTTTGATAAATATATGCATGGACTCCAAAGCAAGATAGGGAAGGCAGAAAGATTTAAATTCATGCCTCTGGCTCAGGAAAACCACATATAGGAAAACTACATACAAATCACATTTCTAGTTTATTGCCCACTTTTTAATATACTTTGCTTCTGAACAAAGGAGGCAAACGTGAAGTACATGCAATATCACTTGAGTATATATGCATAGTGTTATCACTGTAGCCTCTTCAAAGGCAAAGACTTTGGGGAACCAACTTTCTAGAAATGCCAAGTTGCATGTAGTATAATCTATCATAAAATATTTGATGCCGTTGCAAAACAAAGCTAATGTAAAATTGCCGCCAAATATACTTTCTATACTGCTATACCCTGTTCTTCAGCAATACCTGAAGAAAAATTCTAATTACCCAATAGTAAACTAGTGGAATGGATTTAGAAACTGTAATTATATGTTTTGGTGGCAGATAAGTGCACTTTCACTGGCTCTTATTCTCTTACTTGTAAATTCTTACATTTATTAATCTTTTGGAGCTGAACAATTTTTCCCATCACTTCATCAAACCCAATTTGCTTATAATTTAAACATATTTATTATTAAGTATAAATAGAATTTACACAAAAAAACATTTCCCATTATTATATATTGAAGACTTATACTGAGTCAATACATTAGCTCATTAGCTTCTGGACTCTGTGCTCTAGTAAGCAACAAATCTCAAATTTATTAGTCTTAGTACTATCTTTTGTTTTAACTGTGGAAGGGAAATGTTGACTCCGAGTCTTTAGAAATTAAAATAATACATTTAATAAACATCAGGGCTCTGCACATTTTCAAAACTTTATGTGAGTGCAGCATCTTTTTGCTATTCATTAAAACAGTCCAGCTTCCTTTAGAATTTTGTGTAAGCCTGAAAAAGCTTTAAAAGAGCTGAATTGTTAGAATTAACGTATCTCTTAAGCAGTCGCACCTTCAACTTTGATATAGAAGCTTGAAAAAAAAAGGGGCTGCATTCCTGCAATGTCCAAAACGCAGCACCTTTCAACTCATTTGCAAAACAGGCATAGGTTAATAAAGAAAAAAGGAAAAGTGGGGGAAGGAGAGAACTTCTATATCATTGTTTCTTTTTATCTTTCTGGATACTTTATTACATCTGGAAGATGAGAAAAAATTGGCAATGGGCTTTTTCCTTCAGGCAGACTCTTCCTTTAGCACACCCTCCCAACCGTTATCTGTCCTGAATCATAATCTTCCCTTGCCCATGATATGTTGAGAGAAAAGGTAAATACTAGATACCAGTTTTTCCTAACTAAAACTTCAATGCTTTCTCTCCCGTGCTTTGCTCATCTAATGGGTAAACAGGAATGTAATACAGCTATCATTTTTCTCCTCTTTTCAGATTCCAATCAAACTAGGTCTCTTAAAGAGAAGCCAGAGCACAGAAGAGACATGTGCTTCCATTCAAAGGCAGAGCATAATATAGAGACAACAGATATAAAGCCATATATGAGAAACCAATGCTTTCTGCTTCAATTCCGTATTTTAGAAATGGTGTTTCTAATCTATGTTTCTATAACACTTGCAAATCTGTTTAATATTTTAATTAATCTACCTAACCATTGTAGATATCAATACTGAATATGATTATAATGCGGTCTTTTGAAATAAATCTGAACCGACATAATATATTGGATATGAAAAATAATTGCATATTTATAATACTATTTGGGATATCCCATTGAAGAAAAGTGGTCTTATTTCTATGTCATTATGTACAAAGCTATACAGTCCACCTAAGATTTTTTTCCCCAAGCATATATATGGGCACTCCTTATATACATGGAAATAAAGTCGTACCAGTGTTTGACTGGCAGATTATAAGTAATTTCTTGCCAGTGTCTTTGAGCTTCATAGTCTCCATACATAGGTGGTTTTCCTGCACCTAAAACACAAATGGAAGAAAAGATGAGAGATATGTTTGTGTGCCTATTTATTAAACTACATACTATCCATTGTTATGATTCCACTGGTGTTTTCTATTAAATTCTTGGGAAATAAATGTTTTCTATTCTAAATATATGTCCATGTTAAAAAGAAAAAATATTTCAAATTCTTTCAAATACAAAAATGAAAACAGTATTGGTATTCTGCAATTTGAAACACACAATCATACATGATACCATACAGTATACGCAGATTCCATCTTTCGTGTTTCTTAATGGAGCATCCCATCTCCCATTTCACAGAATCCTCTGATCAATTAGCATCTTCTGATCTTCAAGGAAAAGAATTGGGGTGCCATAATCATAATTTTTGGACCTAACACCTAATATCTGGTTTCCTCAAAAATATGGTCCCTACTGCACAGTTATATACCTCCATTCATTTACTAATGTACAGTGAAGGAGATAAGTCACTTTCTTTTTCTTTAAGCTTTACACAAAAAAGTATTTCTTGCTATTGTAACATTTTATGCTTGAGTCAAATTTGTGTCAAAGTCAGCTTGCTGTTGTACCAGTTTTATATTTAACAATATACATTTCCATTTTGCTCATTTCTACTTGCTATTCTCTCAGCCAATATTTTTATGAATAAGCTTCTTTTTAAACAAGATATATGAAACAGTGTAATTGTTGTAGCATCCAAGTAAATATTTAATATATATAATTATTCATTTCCTGTCTCCTGATTAGCTAATGAAAGCATATATATATTTCAGCTTTACAGAAATTGAGAAGTTTCTTCTAAATCTAGGAAAGACTTTTATTATTTTTTTATATAATTTATTTTTAATAGCTCATACATGCATGAAGACAAGGGTAATATTTGCCCCTTTGTAACATGGGGACAAGTTTCACAAGAAATGAACTTCTGGAGCAACTAAATATCATTGTTGCCTGAGCATAGGCAAAGGATTATTGCCTTGCCTTGCTTTTGGGTGAAGAATTGCTTTTAGTGCAGACAAACATACTCATGATTTTTGGGTGGGGGAGAAAAAGCTGCCAATCATAACATTTCAAAGTTATTATTAAATATATGCAAATCTTCAAAATAGCACGCCACTATTATTTTACTGTAATGATTAGAGCCTATATTCCCTCTGAATAAGATCCCTAAGTATAAAATACAAATTATAAAACTTTCCCTCCACCCAAACCAGTTAAATACCAATATGTTCTAACCAGCTGCCTAAACCAGTGTATGGAGACAATAAACTATTAACTTGTGCAGACCCAACTGTCTGAATGAACAGTGGTAGGTTGAGGATTACTTGTACCATGCATTTATTCACCCTAGATTTTATTAGTGAGTTATTTTAAGAGAGACTATTCTACCTTATTATAGTTCTCATTTAGCAATTGCTTCATATAGCTATTGTTTACCTTTGACGGGATAAGGTCAGAAAAAAAGTAAAACTGCTTTCATTTAGATTTAATTAAACTTATATGCATCAAATATTTTGTTGTTGTATTTTAAATAAAACAGCTCAGCTAAGTACTTCCTAAGCCTATATAACTACTAACACAATGATGAAATACTAGATTAGTCTGTTCATATGTGGACCATTCTTGGATCAGTTAAGAATGATCTAAGTTTTATAAGACGTTCAAATAGTACAGCATTTGTTTATTTCAAACAGACATTAAACATGAGATGCTCAGGATATATCTGAATAATACTGAAGAATGAGAAAACATCAAATGTTTTTTATTTAATTATGCTGATATTTGTGGTTCTATAAGAATACAAAATAGTTGCTTGTATTTCCTACATTTTGTATAACAATCCCATATATTTTTAAGAGGTCCCAATATCATAATCTGAACTTTTAAGGAAAATTATCTCTGTGTACTAGCTCCAATTCTGAATGTATATTACCTGAATAAGGACCAAGTGACACAGTCCATCGGACAATAAGTCCAAGTAACACAGTAATTGTAATTAAGATCCATTTTTCCATAGCTGGTCTTCAATCAAGATCTGGAAATAATAAGAACAATTATATTATATATTGTTTTATACTAGCTTAGTCCTAGTCTATGACCATAATAAATCATTTCTCTATGATACACACAATTCTGTTCCAAAAGGCAGCAACCCAGTGTGGATCTTTTATAATACTATTATGGGGAAGTGAAAACAATGAATGAATTCAGCACAGTATTAGAGGGCTATTCTGCAACAACCAGAAATGCTCCTGAAAGAATCATAGCAATAGCACTTAGACTTATATACCGCTCCATAGTACAGTAAGATGATTCTTTTATATAAAGGAAAAAGTAGCTGACTTTAATATTTGAACTGTTGGTAATAAGAGTAATTGAGCAAGCTAAAAAGACAAATAAATGGAATGTGTGCCCCTCTGCTATTTTTTAATAGTATAATTAAAGTAATCATCTCAATTCTAGGAACCAAATTCTATAATTTTACAAGAATCGCATCTTCTATAAAATGTATAGCAAGCAGAGGTTATGTTTGCATAGCATACTGAACAAGTTGGATTATATATGAAATTTCAGTCCTGCTCAAAATATATACATAACTATATGTATAATCTGTTTAGAAATAAATTCTATTGATAACTTACTCCCAAATACAGGTACCAGGAGTCTTCAACTTACGACCACAACCAAGAAGGGAATTTTAGTCATACGTCATTGCAGTCATACTGTAAGCTGAGGTAATCACCTCACCAGAGTTAATTATACATCTGTTTTTTATTATGATTGTTAAGTGAGTCACTGGGGTTATTAAGTGAATTACATGATTGTTAAGCGAACTACATGATCGTAAGTGCAAATCATTTTTTTCCAATGAGTTTTACTGGAAAACATAAAAAAAATTACAAAACACAGTTAAGTAGCTGCAGAATACTGCAACCGTTCACAAATACAAATAAGATGCCAAGCAGCTGAAATGTAATCACATGACCACTGGAGTGGTAAGGCAGTCATAACTTTGAGAATGGATTATAACTTTTTTTATATCCATTGTAACTTTGAATGATTGTTAAACAACCGTTGTAAGTTATGGACTACTTGTGTAAACATGGGAAAGGAACTAAAATGTTATATTTAATTTCTCTAATATAATATGATTTACTATAAGTAATATTATATAAAATCTCAAATAATGTTATGTGTTATTAATTAATTATTAAATTTATATAGCAGCCCATGCCATTGCCATGACACTGGATGGTTTACAAGTTAAAAAAAATCCCCCTTTCAAATACAAAATAAAAATACAAGAAAATACAAAATCAACCAAAAAATAGATACAAAAGTTATCTAAAATATTTTTTTAAATAAACTATTTAAAACCATCAAAACAAAATCTGAGATAGAGTATTAATTTCCCTAGACCAGGGGTGTCAAACTGCCGGCCCACGGGCGGGTTTTATCATACCAGAGCTGCACCCACCCCAGTGCCGGCAACGGCGAAAAGGCTCCGATACGTTGCACGACGTCACGTGACGTCACGAATTTGACATATCTGCCCTAGACATATAGCTAGTGAGCTTTCCACCAATGTCATCGAATCCCCAGGCCAGATTGCAAATTATTCAGTTAACTCAATTTCCGGTGTTTATATACAGACTGGACTAATGAATAGACTGAGTTTGCAGAACATTAGACTAAAATGTGCATTGTGCAAACCCAGCCTTTGTTTCTATTTGAGAAACATATATGTGATAGCACACTTGATCCTATTTTCTTCATTTTAGAACTTTAACCGAATTGTACCTTAATTTTGGTCCAAAGAATAATGGGCTGGTTTCCATCCTGCTTGAATTTAATTACAGTATGAATTTGGGACTTCTTTATTTTACTATACCCCAAGGCATTAACTTCCCAAGCAACACATGACAAAAACTTAAATACTTTGTTGTTCTACTTTTAAAACCATGTTTTCCTCACATAAGATGACAACAACCCATAACGTGAATATATTCTGATGTTTTCTTAGAAGAAATGTGAACACTGCAATCAGGAAACCTCTAAGAAGTGAAATTCCTTTCCTTTCCCCTTTCCTTCCTTTCCCTTTCCCCTCTCCTTTTCTTTCCTGATGCCAAACTACCTAGTAAGAAAGGAGAGAGATTCCTGATTTACCAGGCAGCCAACTGGGTCTCTCAGATTTAATTGCAAAGACACTTGACAGCCAGTCTATGGCATATGGGAGCTGCTTGCTAAAATTGCAAGATTGTTCTTAGTCCATCGCAACTGGCTTCTGTAAGACTGAACTGGGCAGTAGGGTTAGCAAATTTTGTGCTGATTTTAGTAACCCTGCTGGCTCAAGGACAGATGAATATCATTTTAAGTGAGTCATAGAGAAAAGGCCAAACACAAACTACCCAAAGCAATGCATTTTAGAAATCCTGCCAATATAGTTAATTTGTGATTCAGTGTGTCATACAAAACCAGAACATTGGATTGAATAAACCAATGTCAAGTATACCATGGGTACACAATTAAACCAAATTATCTATCTCAAGATATGATAGATCTAAACCACATTGCACTTTATCGTTCTGTATTAAACTGAGTAATTGTCACCTGAAAACTATAGTATAGCAGCTTGCATGAATCCAGCCTTTAATTTTTTTAAAGGAACCTTCTCCAGCCAAGAATGATGTACACTGATAGTCCCATCAATCCCAGTAACCATATCAATGACTATATTCATGCACTGCAGAGAACCACAAAGTACTCAATCACATTTTAACTAATTAACTATGTAATTAGTTTAGGATTCAGAAAACAGAATGACAATGAAGAATGTATGAAAATAAATGGAATTCTTAGCAAATGACTCAATATTAAACAAGGAGTAAGATAAGGATGTATAATGTTCCTGGAATTACTTAATATATTTACAGATAAATGTATAAGGAATGTTTGTAGAATCATTAATTGGGGGGGGTTGTTTTTGCTCTATGTGGTTTTATCTTATAAATTTTATCTTATTTGAAAGACACCAAGAGTTTGATTAGACTGCAGTGATGTAGAAATCTACTATTACAATGTTAGACAGAATGCACAATATAACAAGGAGTAAGGCTCTGAAAATTAAAGAATCAAAAATCAGAGTAGTTTTTTGACAGGAGATGTGGAGTGAATAATTGCAGACTGTAGATGATGAAAAACTATAAGAAGTAGATGAAATTGCGCACTTGGTAGCATGGAAAAATGGTTAGAAAAATGTTGGTATAAAAATAGTAGGTGATACATTGATACATGTTTCTATCAGGAAGAAACATTTATCAAAAGAAGCAGAGAAAATAGCTATGCTTGTGCTCACCCTCTTATTGGGAAATATAAATTTGATATGTCAGGAAAAACAAAGAAGATGAAGGCAGTGGAAATGTAGTATTTAAGAAGTACAGTGAGGGAAAAAATTATTTGATCCCTTGCTGATTTTGTATGTTTGCCCACTGACAAAGAAATGATCAGTCTATAATTTTAATGGTAGGTTTATTTGAACAGTGAGAGACAGAATAACAACAAAAAAATCCAGAAAAACGCATTTTAAAAAAGTTATAGATTTGTCCAAAATGGTATAGGGTTTCCTACCTGAGCAGGGGGTTGGACTAGATGACCTCCAAGGTCCCTTCCAACATTATTATTATTATTATATCGATCATCGCACAGTCAGCCAGATGTTCAGACTGGATTATTATTATTATTATTATTTGCATTTTAATGAGTGAAATAAGAATTTGATTCCTTTGCAAAACATTACTTAGTACTTGGTGGCAAAACCCTTGTTGGCAATCACAGAGGTCAAACGTTTCTTGTAGTTCGTCACCAGGTTTGCACACATCTCAGGAGGGATTTTGTCCCACTCCTCTTTGCAGATCCTCTCCAAGTCATTAAAGTTTCAAGGCTGACATTTGGCAGCTCGAACCTTCAGCTCCCTCCACAGATTTTCTATGGGATTAAGGTCTGGAGACTGGCTAGGTCACTCCAGGACCTTAATGTGCTTCTTGAGCCACTCCTTTGTTGCCTTAGTCGTGTGTTTTGGGTCACAGCCATGCTGGAGTACCCATCCACAATCCATTTTCAATGCCCTGGCTGAGGGAAGGAGATTCTCATCCAAGATTTGATGGTACATGGCCCCATCCATCATCCCTTTGATGTGGTAAAGTTGCCCTGTCCCCTTAGCAGAAAAACACCCCCAAAGCATGTTTCCACTCCATGTTTGACAGTGGGGATGGTGTTCTTGGGGTCATAGGCAGCATTCCTCCTCCTCCAAACACGGTGAGTTGAATTGATGCCAAGGAGCTTGATTTTGGATTCATCTGACCATAAGACTTTCACTTAGTTCTTCTCCGAATCATTCAGATGTTCATTGGCAAACTTCAGTCGGGCCTGCACATGTGCTTTCTTGAGCAGGGGGACCTTGCAGGTGCTGCAGGATTTCAGTCCTTCATGACATAGTGTGCTACCAATTGTTTTCTTGGTGACTATGGTCCCAGCTGCCTTGAGATCATTGACAAGATCCTTCCGTGTAGTTCTGGGCTTATTCCTCACCGTTCTTATGATCATTGAAAGTCCACGAGGTGAGATCTTGTATGGAGTCCCAGACCGAGGGAAGCTAAGTTATTTTGTGTTTCTTCCATTTGCGAATAATCACACCATCTGTTGATACCTTTTCACCAAGCTGCTTGGCAATAGTCTTGAAACCCATTCCAGCCATGTGTAGGTTTACAATATTATCTCTGACATCCTTGGACAGCTCTTTGGTCTTGGCCATGGTGGAGAGTTTGGAATCTGATTGCTTTGTGGACAGGTGTCTTTTATACAGGTAACAAACTGAGATTACAAGCACTCCCTTTTAATAAAGTGCTCCTAATCTTAGCTCATTACCTGTATAAAAGATACTTGGGAGCCAGAAATTTGGCTGATTCATAAGGATCAAATACTTATTTCACTCATTAAAATGCAAATCAATTTATAACTTTTTTGAAATGTGTTTTCCTGGATTTTTTGTTGTTATTCTGTGTCTGTTAAAATAAAACTACCATTAAAATTATAGACTGGTCATTTCTTTGACAGTGGGCAAACGTACAAAATCAGCAGGGGATCAAATAATTTTTCCCCTCACTGTATGTGTGGGAGCTGGGTGTTAAAACAAGAAGAAATAAAAATAAAAAAGGGGTGCCAAGTTAACATGAATCAAATAAAGAAGTTAATTGCTGGCATGAAAGTAGTATATCAAAGTGATTTGATCATAGAGGGACAAAAGTAAAAATTGTACTGCAAAAATATGAAGAGTTGGCTGAGATGAAAAGGAAGACTGAACATTGGGATTGGATCCTCAAAAATGGAAATGTGAGAAATTTAAGGAAGGCAATATATAGACATGGCAGAAGCAAGATTGGTTCACAGTTAGAGAATGATAAGTAGTATCTTGAATGGTATTGATGCAAACTAGTTTTAAGTGTACTGTACACACTATTTCCTTTTATTTCATGTTTTAAATTTCTCGCTTTTTCCCTGTACATGGCAAAACATTACATACCAGAAAGGGAGTAGCATAATGGGGATGTATACAGTATATAAAGACTATATAAACATTCCACAGAATGCATCATTGGTATTTATGAAAGGAAAGCAGATTAGGGCTCCTGTGAATATTTAACCATATGCAATCTGCGCATACAACTAAAATGTCCCCATTACTTTTAATACGGAAAGCCTTCATATGTTACATCCCACACCGCTGTCTCTATAGGTAAAAATGCTCTTGAAGAAGAGGAGGCTGGTAACGATCTCTGTCCTGCTACAGTCCTCCCTTCCTCAATGGAACAAGATTCAGCTCCGCATCCAAAGTCGCCCTGCCTCTATATCGCCCTTCCCTGCCTGCAGCCCTCCAAATCGGCACACTGATGTAACTGTCAGCCGTTGGCGAGGCTGTTGGGGTTTTCTTCCCGGTTCTAAAAGGCAGGAAGCTGAGCACCCATTAGGGGAAGAATGCAGTTCCTGACCCCCGAAGGGACACAAGCGCTGCTCTTGAGAGGAAAAGCCAAGCCCCATCCAGCTATTAAGCGCGTGCACTATTCCCCTCAGGAGCGCTTATAAATTATAAATCCCGCCTTTGCCTCGCGCCATGTCGTCCACCGCGACCGACCTCCCCACCCGCCATTGGACACTCTCCCAACTCACCGAAACTGACAGGCGCGAGAGGAGATTCAATGGGCGTGCGCACGTCTGACCCGCTCATTGGTCCCGCCTCACTGGCCGGCCGCATGCGCAATTCATTTCCTGAACGGGTGACGTGGCTTATTCAGTTTGCTCAGTCTGGGTTGAGTTTTTCAGCAGACTTGTCAAAATTAGGGAGTGTGGCTGCTGATTTTAGGTGAGGCTAATCTGGCAGATATTAAGATAAGTCTCTGTGTGTTTACAGTCACAACGTTAAGCTCCTTAGTTTGTAAACAATAAAAATATAGCTCGCTGTTTTATTTAGACTGGGATCGCACGTTATACTGTCCTAAGCTATGGATTTATTAATCATGATGTCTTGAATAAGCTACATTATAGAAGTTGAGTATCATTCTGCACATCAAAGTAGGGATAATAATACCCACAGGAAAAAATTAAAAAGTGCGTTAGAGGTGGTTTGGCACACACAACCTCACTCTTAACAAAAAATCTCTATCATGTATCTTCAGGCCATATTTTATAATTACAGAACACTACAAGCAGAAACATAACAGTCTGATCAAATATATAAGTTTTTTGTATTTACATTGGCAAGGGTCTTTAAAGTCTGTGGAGAAAGTGAAGCAAATTAATAAAAGTAAGCAAAAACATGAGGTAGATAACATTTTACTCATTCGTCATATTTACATAGCGCCCTTCTCACCCTCAGTGACTCTGGGCAGTGTACAACTAGAGCATAAAAACCATATAAAAATATAATACATCAATAAAAGGAGCCGAGTAAACACAAGGACAAGCTAAGTTTAAAAGGGGGGGGGGGCTTCAAAGTGCTAACCATGTGGAGGGAGTTTATAAAAATGATAATAATATCAGTATTATTACTATTTTTAAGATGAAATTTGATTAAATGCGTATAAGGGGTTTTTAATATTTTAAGTTTTAAGTAATGTTTAAATCTGTGTTTTGGAGGGAGTATAATTTGTTTATTCCAACGTTTTAAGTTTTAAGTAATGTTCAAAGTTTTGAAGAGAGTATAATTTGTTTAATTAAATGTATTCAGATTTGCTTATGATTTATATTAGATTTTATATTGTAAGTATAGATGTTCAAAGAAAGTAGTGTTTAAAATTGTGTTTTGAAAGGAATTTATATAGAATGATGGATAATATTATAAGCATGATTAGAAGATGTTTAGAGTATATTATAATGTGTTTAATGATTTTAATTATTATTATCTTTTAGAGATAATTTATTTAACTCAAGGTATTTAGATTTGTTTAGGATTTATATGTGCTTTAAGTTTTTTTTTCTTTTTCTTTTTTTTTTGAAACATTTTGGATAAGCCTGTAACCAACTCTGGGAGGTCTAGGGGAGGGTTAGGGAGGGTGGGGGAGTTGGGGGAGGGTATGGGAGGGGGGGGTTTGGGGAGGGGATTTGTTTTGTAAAATTTTAAAAATTTTCAATAAAAAAAAAAAAGTGCTAACCACGCTCAGGATTGCATACCACTCAGCAAGCGAGTGAATTTGCAGAGTCGGGTCTTCAAATCTCTTTTGAAAGGCCAGGAGGGTGAGGGCCTGCTTCATCTCTAGAGGGAAGACAGTTCAATGGATGGGAATAACAAGAGACGGCTCTCTTCCTGGACCTCACCAGGCAAAATTCTTTAACTGACAGGGTGTGTCACATACTTTTCCTGCCTGACTGGGTGGGACAAGCTGATGTGAAGGGAATAAGGTGGTTCCTCTAGGTTTTAAAAGTAATAACCAACACCTTGAATTGGCGTTGGAAGCAAACTGACATTTAATCCAGTTCACACATCAAAAGTGTTACATGCACCATCCTTGAGCAAAAAATGTACTTATGCAGACACCAGCCGAAGCTTCTGGATACTCTCCTGATTAAAATAGGGGTCCAACTGCTGCATAACATAAAATTCAGCAAAGGCCCTCCTAACCACTGTTGCCACCTGCCTTTCAGCAGGAGTCGGGAATCCAGGAGGACTCCCAGATTGCATACCAGGTTGCTCTGGGGCAGTGCAAACCCAGGTAGCATGTTCTGCTATGACTGATCCAGTTATAATTCGTCCCCTGCCTAGAGATTTTACTTAATTTATATTAAATTACTTTTGGTTAGGGCCTTTGTAATTCTGCTCAGTTTTATGGCCCTATATTAGATTCATTTATGGTAACTCAAGTGTTGATTTCTGTTTATATTGGCTCTGTTCCTCTAACACTGTGTAGTTCCTAATTCTCTTTGGTGAACCTCAGGATTAAAATAAAAAATAATTGCTTTACAACTTTACTTCAGAAGGATCTAAGAGAGTGGGTTTCTTTATCCATTGTTCTTTTTCTTAAGGTTAACACTGATAAGCTTTGATAGAATGTATAAAAATAAGGTGACCAGCCGTCCTTCTTTAGGGAGGACAGTCCTCCTTTTGTAAGTTTTGTCCTCCCTCAAAAAGTGTCCTCCTACATGTCCTCCTTTTCGATATTTGAAGACTAATCTGCAGGGCTTTTTTCTCTCTCATAGAATGCTCAGAACGGCGTTCCGGCACCTTTTTTTGATGCTTTTTTTTCAACTTTTGCATGAGCTGTGCTACTCCCGCTTTTGGCTTTCGAAAGCCAATAGGAATTGTTGCTGAGCGCGCCAAAACACCCGGCCGGCAAACATTGCACATGCAAGTTGTCTGTATTATTGTTGCAATGAATAAAATGCTTCTTTTATTTACGATATTTTTTTCTTCAATTTATTTGTGTCCTCCTTTTCATTGTAAAAAAAGTTGGTCACCTTAATAAAAACATTAAGACGTTCCAACTGTTCACCTTTAAATTGGTAATATGTGTTTTAATGCACTTCCAATAGAACAACCTAGTATTGGCCAGTTGCAGTCAAGTTTTCTTTCCCAGTAACCAACTTGGCTAAATAATATAAGAAGAAGAGAAAAAAAAGAATGATAATGGGAAACATTTTTATTTCACTTTATATGTAAGACATTTCAAATAATCAGAATGCTAGTTCCTGCTCACTAAAACAGTTTGGCCATTATATTTACTTTTATGAGATCAGTGTCAATAATTCTTGTTTGTTTTTTAAGGCATAAATAGGGACATCTAAATTACATTAAAACATCCATTTGAGAGAGGTAATGGGCCAAATACTTAGAATATGGTTCGATATACAATTCAGCATTTGAAATGATAAGATGGAACAATATTCATGCTGAATACAACTCATTAGTTAGTTAGAATATAAGCCCAAGAAGTAATTCATTTATTTTGACTTTAGTGAAAAATCATAATGGAGGAAAAATCATTGCTATAGCAGGCAGTAAGAAGAAGGGAAAGCTCATGTAATCATTCAGCCTCCAATCTTCTCAAAATCTTAGCCCATATTCTGAAACCTCCAGACATATATGATTTTTCTATAAGGCTAGGATTACTGTAATCTTTAAATTGCTTACTGATAATATGAAGGCTCAGTTTACTTGGCTTTATGTTATCTTATTCTCATCTGTGTATGTGGTCAATCAGTAAGCATAGACACTTTCCTTATGAAAACTTTAAAGAATTGCAAAAATATGGATTGTATTCTCAGTTTTCTGACAAAAACTATTCCATGAACTCTGGCCATCTCTTATCTTCTCTCTGATCTTCCATTGTCATACTTCCATCTAATTTTATCCATCCAGCACTTTTCTGCAATCACCATATTCACTCTTTAATCTGATTGTGTGAAACCCTTGTCATTTATTAAACTTTTTCAAATAAGAAAATGTTTAGTTGTTCTGAATTCAGACACGCTATAAAACTGTGCTCTAATTTGGAATACATGCCATCTCAAATAAGTTTGGAGATATTAGAAAGACAAGTTTTCTGCATGCTCATATATGCTTATTTATTACTTGTATTTATTAATCATCCTTCCGGAGGATAGTTAGACTTAGAATAGAGTTGGAAAATATTCTAAAATTGAATAGCAATAAAACTGTTCTGCTTAACTTTCAGTCATTTAAGAGCTGTTAGTTCTACTGTGTGGTGTGAATCAGGGCTGAAACGCAGGAAATAAAATCCCCTCAAATTTGATTTCTCTCTCTCTTTAGAATTTATTGCAAAATCCATTTTCCCACACAGGAATCATCATTTGATACCAACTCCTCCTAATTAACCAAGGATGCATATAATTATCAAAATCTGTACGTATTATTTTTGTCCAAGAGAGCCACACTTAGACATTTGGCACTTTTTTATGATTATTGTTTTTTACAAGCACTAAAAGAGTGGTATGTACTAAAAAGATACAGAGCATTGGTATTTTTTATACAGAGAGTATTTTAGGAAGTGAGTGGTGTAGTGGAGATAGACATGAATTTAACTTGGGCATCATATCAGAGAGAAGAACAGACTTTCCAGTCATAAAATGTACTTAACAGTCTATGTAACACTGGTGAAATCCTTGAAAATACATCCACTGTTAATCCAGCCTCTTTTTTAAAATGAGAAATTAAAAAAAATAAAAGAAGGTCAATAAGATAAAGATTGCCTTCAACACTAAATGATAGTAATAAGAGAAGGCTACTTGTTTATAGTGGTTTTTGACCAATATCTGTTTCAGGCGAGCAATTCATCATTTGAGGGCACGTTTCAACCTAGCTTGGGCACATTTTTTAAAGATTATAAGATTGGTCTGCTTGGGCAAAATGAATTTGTCTGAACAATTAAGAATTATTTTCAGGAGTGTAGTCTGACCTTACAATCATAGATAAACTTCATTAATTTGATTTATTTTACAAATACTGTACTGCTTGAATGTCATCATATCTTTAGAAAATAAGCCATTGTATTACTGGTATGTTTTTTTTTCAGAGAATCAACTATACAATCCAATATAGGACTTCTCACAACAACTCCCATCTGTATCAAGACAATTTGTACTTCCCAAGAAGTCAATATTTTAGAATTAGGATATACTTCTTTCAATCGACCAGACTCTGCTAATGTCTGAACCCCCAGAGTCTGCTTGCTAATATATTTATTTTGTCCTCTGCTCTCACTATTCACAAGTGCTCTAAATCCAAAAGGAATTTAAAAGTGATCTTTGCTACAAA